AGGATGTGTTGATTTCTGTCATTCCGGCTAAAGACTCAGATTCTGACTCCTGTCCTTCAAAAACCACCAGCAACCAGAGCAGCCCGCTCATCACGAGAGGTAAACAGTGAGGAAGAATTAAAATTATACCTCAGCTTAGCCTATTGCTCTAATGTTTACTTTTTATACAACTCTCACTGTCACAGGACTTGTTGTTCTTATATTTTATTCAAGTATTTCCATTTTAAGGCAGCTCATCGTTAGCGGTGAACAAAAAGGAAGAAATTAAATTGATCTCTTTTTCTTTTCTAGCCATGTGCTATTCTATGGAAATTATTTAAAATCAGCAATGATTGAAATTGACTGACTTCTCGTCCAAAAAACATTTGGCACAATCCCTGCACAGTCTCACGGCTAAGCTTGTGAAATATTCCATTGATTTATGTTTCTAGCATTTTTTTAGCAGCAAAAATATATAAAGAATTAATTATTTGAACAGCTAAGGCTCTGTTTTACTATACTGTACTGTTGTGAACCCTGGTGATACAGCTGTTTCTTTGACTTTACCTCGTCTTGTGCTCTTGCATGTGACGTGGCCTACCAGAGACCAAGTCTCCTCTGAGCCTGACCGACCAGCGTCTGTTGGAGAGCAGTCAGCAGTTTAAGAAGAAACAGGGCAAAGGAACCATTGATGTTTGGTGGCTCTTTGATGATGGAGGTTAGTGTTCTCATTGTTATATGAAAATAAAAACATATCTGGTGAACTGACTTTGGGTCCTATGATTCTGTCAAAAAGTCTAAACATAGCTAACTGTTGGTTGTGCTTTTCGATTCATACGTGTCACTGTCGTAAAAAGTAAGGTGAAAAATGAATAGACTTAAAAAACATTCAAATCTGTGGTTCCCTGATCTACACAGCAAAATCTCCAGTGTTAAATTAACACTGGAGATTTTGCTGTGTATACTGGAAAACAGATTTTTGTTCAGTTTGGGGTTTTTAATGACCTGTATAATCTCTGATGTGTTGGTTTGCAGGCCTGACTCTGCTGATCCCCTACTTGCTGACCAACAGGAGTAAGTGGGGCGACTGCAGGATCCGCGTGTTCATCGGCGGAAAGATTAACCGCATCGACCACGACCGCCGAGCGTGAGTCAACAGCTGCTTATCCACCTATGCCAAGCAATAAACTTTACTTTACTACAAACTTGACTTTATATCCACATACATTTATTATTGTGTTTTTGTTTTTGTGTCACGTCAGGATGGCCACGCTGCTCAGCAGGTTCAGAATCGACTTCTCTGACATAAACGTCCTCGGTGACATCAACACCAAACCCAAGAAACACAAGTAAGTCCTCTGAAACTTCCTGAGCTCAGCAGCTTGATCACTATGGATTTGCACTAAACACTATTGTTTTTAATGTCTTTAGCGTCTGTGTTACGTGTGTAAATTGCTTACAAAGTGTTGGAAAGCCAAAGTCAAAAGGTGAATGATTTGTTCATGAATCCTCTTTTTTAATTTATCGATTACTTGATGACTGTGAAAGTCAACATGTAGAAAGTTTGTAATACTAAAAGTTTAAGTGCTTTGAAATATTTTTTTAAATGTTCTTTAGAATGAAGCATCACGTGGGGAGGATGAAACTGATAGCGCTACTCTAAAAACCTAATGTATGTGTTTTGTTTTTACAGTAAGCTGACCTTTAAGGAGCTGATCGAGCCGTACAGGCTGAAGGAAGACGACATGGAGCAGGAGGCTGCTGAGAGGCTGAAGGCCCAGGAGCCCTGGAGGATCACTGACAACGAACTGGAGCTCTACAAGGCCAAGGTCTGCCCTCATGTTGCAAACACACTCAGACCAATCACAGTGCTCTGTTCAAGTGGTTTATGTAACTATACTGTGTGTTACTTTCAGACCAATCGTCAGATCAGACTGAACGAGCTGCTGAAGGAACACTCCAGCACTGCCAAACTCATCGTCATGTAAGAACTTCGTAATAACTTTGTCATCATCGTGTCATCATTTGTTTTAATTTACAGACAAACTCGCATTTAAAAAACCTGGTTAACCCGGCTGCTCATTTCCATGAATCAGGTGTTTCTGTGTGAGCTTGCATCTTCTCCCTGTGCCTGTGTGGGTTCCCTCTGGGTACTCCAGCTTCTTCCCACACTCTAAATACATGCGTGTCATGTTAACTGGTGATTCTAAATACACCGTGGGTGTGAATATGAGCATACAGCTGTCTGTGTTGAAGTGGTGACTTGTCCAGTGTCCAGTGTGCACAACAGTGTCTTTGGATCCTGGAATACTCACTACCAAAACAATCATTAATTGACAAAATAATGCATGACAAGCCAATCACTGCTTGTATGGACACCACTTTCTGCAAAATGAAATAAAACCATAAGAGGCCAGATTAAATTCTTATAACAATGAAAAAGAACACCAGTGAACTTACAAAAGCTTTGGACATTTAGCAAATGCACCAGGGGGATGTTAAAGAAGAACAATCTCCAGGAGAAAGCCATAAGTTCCAAGTTCAACCATAAAGAGAAGACGCCAATGACAGAAAATACAGAGGATTCACCACAACCATTTATCAAACTCAAGAACAACAAGTTAAACTTCACCGAAAAAACCTTCACCAATTCTGAAGCAGCATTCTATCTGTTCAAGTCAACCTGTAACAAAGCGACAACAGTGTGGAGAAGTCCTGGAACATAAATCCTGGAGCCGAAGCATAAAACATAAAGCATAAAACATCAGCAGCAGCAGAGCTGGTGTGACGCAAGGGCATGCATGGCTTCCATCCATGTGTGCAGCAGATTGTGAAACATGTTCCATCACAGTATTAAAAAAGGCATTTTATATGTGATTGTGTTAACTTGTCCAACTAAACTGGAACCCATAAAACAGTTAGCTATCCCGCGGATTTAAAGTTGAGAGTCTGAAATTTTGACTATATCTTAAACTTTGATACTGAAGAAATCTTAAGACACTGATGACACTCAGGGAACTTCAGAAGCATTAAAGTGGATGATCCATAATGCTCTGAGCTCCAGAATTTATAGTTAATATTTTATAAGCTGTTCACGGTTAATTCAGTGCAGTTAATTGAAAAACAAGCAAATATAGTTAAAATAATGAGACATAAAGTGTGACTCATCACAGCTGTTACATATAAAGTAAATTAGACCTCTCACATTGAACTTAACACGTCAAAATAATTTGACCTTTAAGCTTACATATTAATTTAATGACATTAACTGCTCATAACTCATAATTACAAGATCATGCAGTCTTCTTTCTAACGCTGCTCTGGGTTTGATTTTGATATATATAAATATCATAAAAATTAAATTTTTCTTTCTCTCTCTGTGTGTGGCTAGGAGCATGCCTTTGGCAAGAAAGGGCACAGTGTCGAGCGCCCTCTACATGTGCTGGCTGGAAACTCTGTCCAAAGACCTCCCACCACTGCTGCTGGTGCGAGGAAACCACCAGAGCGTCCTCACCTTTTACTCCTAACACACACACACACACACACACACACACACACAGAGTCATATACCTACTCTGCTCACGCACAAACATACAGTGTGTCCTGCTCTCCATATTTATTACAGTATGAGAAAGCCTCCGTCTGCACAAAAACAGAAACGTCGTCGTGCTTTAAGCTTGTGAAACTGTCCAGCTGTGAAGGGAAAAATTATTAGGACTAATATCTTTTTCCACTTGTCTTAAATCGATTGTTTTTAACATGTTAATTAAACTCAGTCAACAGATTTGACCATAACACTAACAGGTTGCTTGTTCCGTTTCCTCTGTGAGTTTTATGTGAATGAGAGTAACTACAGGTAAATTCATGTAAAAGTTTATTTATAAGGATAAAAGTTTGGATTTGAGAATGTAAGCTTCTGTGATTATAAAATGACGTTTTTATGGTTTTTCCCCACTGGGTTCACAAAGACAGATGCTCCATCTTTGTTAACTTTATTTTGTACTTTATTTTAATAAAGGATTAACTAAAACATATGCTTTATTGAAGTTTGGTTTTTGTCAGCTTTATTCCTGTTCCTGTATTAGTGAAGTACTTAAAGTCAAAATCAGAAAATAATCTCATCCTCAGCAATGTAACTTTAATCTGATGACACAATTCTTTAGTGAAGGGCTGAAAAAAACAATTCACATAAACTCTTTTTTATTTGTATGAACTCCGTAAGATAGTGGCATTAGAGTAGAACAATGACATATACACTCAATAGCCACTTTATTAAGTATACCTTGCTAGTTGGACCAGCTTTCGACTTCAGAACGATCTTCATTTTTCATGACATAGATTTAACAAGATGATGAAAACAATCCTCAGAGAATTTTGTCCATGTTGACATGATCGCTTCACATTTGTCAGCTGCACATCCATGATGAGAATATCCTGTCCCAGCCATCAGAAGAGAAGCATACTGTGGTTATAATGGGATGGACATGGTCAGTGACAATACCTGATGCTTTCATGCTGTTTACACCAAATTGTTCATTTTAATTATAGCCTCAGTTTTCTGTTCTGGAAGCAGCACATTGTGTTGTGTATTCAGAGATGCTCTTCTGCATAACTTCTTTTGTAATGACTGGTTATTTAAATTATTGTTTCCTTCCTATTTTCACACAGAAAACTGATGGCTACTTTCTGATGATTATTGGGAACCTTTCTGTTTCTAAAAAGTCAAATCAGTCTCTCTGACACCAGCAACTATGCAATGTTCAAACTCATTTTAATTACCTTTCAGTGAGATTCTGATGCTCAGTTTGAACTTCAAAGGGTCAACTTACCAATGGCATTATGCCTAATTGCAACAGATTTCTTCTATGTAATAATTAGAGGACTCAGTTAGCAGTAATACTTAATATAGTAGCAGGTGAGAGCATATAGGAGGAAGCAATTTTACTATGTAAAGAACTCTAACACAGCTTCATTCTTCTATGACAAGCCTTTACAAGTCGGAAATACTACAGCGCCGGGAGGACCTGAAGGCAGCACCACCCCTAATCAGCGTGGTTGTTGCTCTTGAACACACCTCGTAACATTTTCTCCAACAGGAGACGGAGGGGAAGTGAACGCCGAGCGAAAGGCAAGATATGACGCATTAATAATCTTTCACATGAAACTCAAAGTGAAATGTGATGCTTGGTCTCGTTTAAACGAAGCTTAACCGGCGAAAGGCGCTCCTGTTCGTTCGTGTTTTCGTTTCCTGAACTGTTAGTGAAACAGAGCCGATTCAGAGGCCTTTTAAAACCACATGACAAACAAACACTGTGTCCAAGCTTAATCTTCAACACTGTGGGATGTGTAAAAGCAAACCTGCAATTCAAGGTGGTTCCTGTAAGTTTATTTCGCAACCATTGTCGAGGTCAAAGGGTTCAGTGATTGACAGCTCGATGCGCTAATGAGACAGGGAGGACCAATTAAAGGGACAGTGTAGAATTGATGCTGTAGGTTTGTTTTTGTTTTTTTTACTAAATTATAAGTTTATTAACTTATGCATTTGCCATTTTTGTTGCCAGAAAATTACAAAATTTGATAAAAAAAAAATTGTCATGGAATTTTTTTTCAAAATAACTATTTTGAAATAGTTAAAAATATTTCAAAATTAAGTGCAGCTGTCAAGTGAATGCGAATAAAAAATATTTTGTCTAAATCATAAAGAGCACAGCGATATCAACTGAAGTGAACAAGGGTCAAGCTGTTCTTTACAGTAATACCAGTGAGTGCCACAAGATGGCACAGTTAGTAACTTTAATTAAATTGGAAACATTGTAATTAGAATAATTGGAACCAAATATTCTTGGGTCTAACTGTTAGTAAACAAGAGCAAAATGTATTTGTTTTCCATATTTTAGTCTTTCTCTGGATGTTATATCAAACCACTCAATAGGAAGAATAGATAGCATTCTAGTGAGATATCAGTATTTATTTGGGTCAATTTTGCTGTAGTACTTTTAGTTTTTTCAGCATTTTAAACTCTGAGCTATATTTTGAGGTTGTTAAACCCAAATTCCCATTTCTTGACATTAATCATCAATCAATTATTCAAAACGTTTTACCTTTTTATCTATGATTTAGCTTTAGCTCTTATGTGTCAAATGAATACTTTTAAAATACTTTTATCATTTATTTGTAAGTAGCTGCTTCATCTGTTCATAATATCTCCTCTGACATTTTGCCAGATCATATATTACCCCAGGTTTCATTGTCTTTGTCTCGGGATCCAGGATGACGAGCTATCAACTGAGCGCGAAGGAGGACATGGTGGAGAAGTTTCTGGATGCTGCAGCAAGAGGAGATATGTCCCAGGTGTCCACCTTGCTGTCCCATGTGCCCTCGCTCATAAACCAGACAGGATACAGCGGCTGGACCGCACTAATGCTTGCAGCTCGCAATGGACATTCTCATGTGGTGGAGAAGCTGCTGTCACATGGGTACATCACTGCATTTCTCTTAATTTGTAATGTTATTAATGTACCATTTGCTTTGAACAATACTAAAGAGATATATTGTGGAATATTTTTTCAAAGCTGCATTAATAATTTTTAGCATTTAGGGGATGCGTCTATTCCACATATGTTATGTTTAGGTAAATATTTGCAGACTTGATGGGCAGAAACATAGGAACTGGAAAGCATTATGAAAAGAGGCTAAAGTGAGGTTTTCAAATATTTAAAGAAACTGAACCTGAAAGAGCAAAGTAAACAGAAGTCTGTGTTTGTTTGTTTTTCAACAGAAGTTCCTTATTTGTGTGCACAAACTTGGCCAAAAAAATTTATTCTCATTCTGAAACAAAAGATGTAGCTAGAACAAAACTTGGCTACACACAGGTACGTTAAATTAAAACGTATTAAAAATTAAATAGGAGTAGACTGAAAGTCAGAGAGAGATAAAACTGTAGCTAAATTTTTTTAGCATATAGGAGCTATATGCTAAAATGATATTTTAAAGTATAAAACAAGGCAAAATAGGGATAAAACTAGTGGTGAAAATACAGTAAAATTAGGAGTTGCAAGAAAACCAAACAAGACAAAAAATAATAAACCTGCATGCGTGATGAGGCAAAAACCTTTACTGAAATAAATCAATATAAAAGCTGAAGAGACAAAAACTAGTAGCAAAAAAAACCCCATTTAGTATAGAAAAACATCCTCAAAGAGGCTATAATAAGCAGGTACGGAAAAAATATTGGTGCAATTTAAATGAAAACATCTAAAAACTTAAAAGTCTAAGTTGTAAAAGCCCCAGACTTTAATGTGTTGTAGCCTTGAATGTATAAATGGATTCCTGACTTCTCTAAAACCTCTTTTTTCTTCTGTCTTTTAGCTGTGATAAGTTCATAGTAAACAGTTCATCACAGACCGCCTACGATGTTGCCAAGTTCTGGGGTCACAAACACATCGCTAACCTACTCTGCCAGACAGACGATGGCTGCCAGCGAGTCCTGCCGGGCTCCGACATCAGTCCGCAGGAAAACTACTTCAGCAGGGAGACGCTGGACCGCCTGAGTGGGAAGAGGACTGACAAGGCCTGGTTGGAGGCCAAACAAAGAGAACCAGATACTGTCTACCTCATATTCTCGAACCTCAGCCCCATGCTCAGCACATCCCAGGAAGACGACAGCGCAGTGGTATGTTTATGACCTACAGCCTACGGCTAGTTTACATGACAAAGATGAAAGTCATGTGAATTGTGAATCTGATTGCAACAGGTTGAGAGCAAACTGTGCTGGTTCAGATATGAGGCAGTTAAGGATCTTCTGCAGAAACCTGCAACTGTGCTCATTTTCCTCGGAGTGGAGAAGAGGAAAAATCCCTCCCCTTGCTCTCCTGAGGAGGGTATCCGGGAGGCTCCTGCTTGGTTTGCTTTCAGCACTGATGAAGATGCTGCTGACCTTGTTAAACGGTGCAGGGAGAAGAACTGCTCCTTTTCAAAGATGCCAAACAGAGACCTGCTGAAACTAAACGAGGAAGAGGCCGGTGAGACACACAAAACGTGTGTTGTTGTTTGATCACCTGCCTCTCTTGTGTCACAGTATAATACTTCTTCCTGCTCTCCTTGTCTGCAAGGAATCGTGGCTCAGGCTCGATCGATGTTGGCCTGGAACAGTCGCTACAGCTTCTGTCCGACATGTGGCAGCAGCACCAAACTGGAGGATGGAGGACACAAGAGAAGCTGTCTGAACTCTGAATGCAGGAGTCTAAAGGGGGTCCACAATACCTGCTATCCACGAGTTGGTATGAATCTGCTCATCTATCAGCTCATCTCCACTGTAGTTAATACTGTGTAGCATCATGCTGTGCACAAAAAACATTACCAAAAAACGTAAAAGCTAAAAAGAACAGAAAACTGTAGTTTCTCCAGTGGCTTCTTGAGGCTGGCTCTAAGTCAAGTCCTGCAGACCCCCATATTAAAAAAGCCCAACGTGGGTGCCTGTTATGCTGGTTGAAGGCACGGCCGTATGCAGCAGCCTGGGCATGATCCTGACCTGTAGCCCTTTCCTGCTCTCTTCCCCCTTTTTGTTGTCTACTCTTTATTGTTGCAATGTCAGATAAATTCAAAAATGTCCAAAGTAACAAAGTTTGCATATGTTTGTGATTTCAGACCCAGTGGTCATCATGCTGGTGATCCACCCAGATGGAAACCAATGTTTACTGGGAAGGAAGAAGGTCTTCCCAGCTGGGATGTTTTCCTGTTTAGCGGGATTTGTAGAGCCTGGTATACCACACACTCACACACACAGAAAAACAGAAAAACTGCTCAGCTGTTAAACAACTGATGTGAGCCTGAAGCTCATCCTCACAGGAATATTAACCATAAATCAAGTCTCAGCTATAAAAATTAGGGTGACAGCTTCTCCATGTCCTACCCCGCAGGGGAAACGATTGAGGATGCAGTAAGGCGGGAGGTGGAGGAGGAGAGCGGCGTGAAGGTCGGACCGGTTCAGTATGTCTCCTGCCAGCCCTGGCCGATGCCATCCAACCTCATGTTTGGCTGCCTTGCTGTCGCTATATCAACAGACATCAAAGTGGATGAGAATGAGATAGAAGAAGCTCAGTGGTTCACACGGCAACAGGTAAGTAACAGTGCGACTATTAGTGGAACTGCTAACAGGGATCATGATGTTAAGAGTTAATAATAAGTCTACTGAAGATAATTTTATAACAACAACTTGGAAACTGTTAGCATCAGCTGTATCAACTAGAAATTCTCCAGAGCTTTCATGCATATCCCATGGCCAATTCTTCTAATGCTTAATAATGAACAATTCTAGACATTAATGAGACAGTAATCCAACTTTTCTGCTTGCTCAGGTAATCGACTCCTTGTTCAGAGGAGCATCTCCAGCTTTTAACATCCCCCCCAGGCAGACCATCGCCCACCAGATGATCAGACATTGGATCGGCATAAACGCTAACCTCTGACAGAACACCTTCATCACTCGACCACCTGCCCAGCTGAGGTCGTCAGATGGATAGGAACGAGTTTGTCCCCAGTAGATTAACTCACCACATTCCTCAGATTGTTCATGTTGTGCTTTAATATTAGTTTACTGCAAAGTGACTTTACGCATGTACAACAATCTCAGGTTTGACATTTCACCTCGGAAATATCTGCAGTACGATGATGAAATATGGAAGAAGAAGCATGCTCTGTCCAGATTCAGTCCAGAAGTAGTTGTCAGAAACTGTAATTATTTAAAATAAATGTATTTTAAAAAATGTAAAGTAGTATTCTCCTCGCGTGTTTTATAATAAACTATATTCAACTTTCCTTGGATTAAACAAAACATTTTTGACAAGAAATTAATTCTCAAACATCCATTTCATCTGCCAAACCATTCAGAGTCCTCAGGGTGGGGGGCCTTTTGTTTATGTTTAATTTGTTTTCATTTACTTTAATAAGTTCATTAAATCTAAATATTTCAGTAAAATTGCACAAGAGATTCTGATGATTGCTGGATTATTTCTAGGAGCCAAAATAAACTTCAAGTATTAAATAAATTAAAGCCTATCCTTTGCATCCTTCTGTCACACCAACCCTATATGACCACATCAGTGACTCTTCTCTGTGGTCTTCCTCTTTTCCTCCTGCCTAGAAGCTCCATACTGAGCATCCTTTGTGCATCGTATCCACTATCACTCTTCTACACTTGTCCAAACCATCTCAGCCTTGCCTTGATTACTTTCTTCAAAATGGTCAAATTATGCTGGCGCGACAGCTCATTTCGAATCCTGACCTTTCTGCTCACTTCCTATGAGAATCTTAGCATTCCGGGTTGCAAGAAGTCTGAAGCCCATCCCTAAATATATAAAGGTTACCCCAATGACTCAGTTATATATTCCCAGAGTTAATTCACAAACAAGGTTCCTTCTAAAACAGACAGCGATTTTGTCTGATTGTCTTCAATGCTTCAATGATCCATCTGTCTCCTGTGCATTCATAGAGAGCATGGTTTGCTTTATGAGAAAAGCGTCGCTTTTCAATAATTCATTTAATAACTTGAACTCATGAAGAGAATTTCTAGATGTGTTCAAGGAGTGGAAGGTGTTTTGCAGATTATATGGTCTTGCAGGGAGTAGAAGTGGTTCAATATCTGACTAAGATGCCGCCTGGTGGCACTGAGGATGCCTCAGTATCTTTCTAGAAGACTTGGTTGTAGCTGGACAGGGGCTAAAAAAAAAACTGGGCACTATTTTCAGTCTCACATGGGTCCCTATTATGATATTTTGTAATAAATAAGACTCCACAGAAGCATTACTTTGCCTGTGACTTTGTCTGTATCTTGGCTGTCCGCGCATATAAGGTCTTTCTAATGACTTGTCTGGTTAAATTAAAGTTCCACTGACTTCCTGCAACATTTTGTGGTGTGAAATGGTGAAAAGTCCAAGTTATAACTCTTTTGCACAATATAGGATATTTTTGAACATAGCGTATAAGTGTCTGTTAATGATTTGAATTACTTGTACTGTACACTGCTGGGTTGCTTTATCTATATTAGTGCAGCATAATGCAATAGTAGATTAACATTTTCAAATTTGCAAAATAATTAGTAACCAGATCTTTACAATAATTGGTACAGAATAAAAGTATAATGTTCATAACCAAAACATAGTGAAGTAGAGAGAAGAACATGTACTTCAGTTAAGTATTTGGCTGAATGTTATCATATTTCAGAGTGTCTGGTGGCACCCACATCTTACAACGATGACATACGTTCACATTATGAAATACATGTAATATACAGCGTATTAAATGCAGACACCAAGATGAGCATGTCAAACATGGAGTAACAATGATCTTAAGATAAAAAAGGAGGCCCTCCTTGCTTATTATGCTGCTGTGGAACTTTCCATATTTTCTTTATACAAAAATACCAAAAATGCAGAGCCGATGAGTCTGCCCCACAAGACAGGCCATTGTTTTCCTTGCTGTAATAAACCTTTGGGCCACATCTTATCTGAGCTCATTTGTTGCTGAAGTTGCTGAGTCTGTCTCAATGTGTTTTCACCCTGTGTCACTGTTAGAAATGTAACCTGCATCACAGATCAGATAAGAGCAGTCACTCTGCCTGCCCCAATTCAACACGTGCTCTGTCTCACAGGTCATCGGATAAACAGGCTGACTTTCAGTCAACAAACTAGGAAAGTGACTTCTCACAGCAGCCTCGGTCTGATGTGATATCTCGGAGATGTCAGCCTGATTTCTGTCCTTGTCGCTCTGAGGAAGCCAGAGCTTGGTTTCGTGTAGCGGAGCGCCGGCAGCCTCTTGATTTTCTTCTGATATGAAAACCTTGATAGGAGGACGGGACTGGTTCTCTGTGGGTTGTGCACTATAAGAAACATACTCAGAGTCTAGAGTGAGGCAGCCAATCAACAGCAGAGAGGTATCCTCACGCTGGTCATCATCTGGTAAGAGCTGAGAGGTTCGCTCAACTATGATGAGACTTTTGTCTCTGAGGACATCAGTCACCTGGAAGTCTTCAATATTAAGGATGCTCCTCTCTGCAAATTTCTGTTGAGAAGAATGAATGAGTGGTCATTTTGTGGCTGGCTGCTGTAGCTTTACATATATTTGTGTTTATTGTTTCTCTTTTTTTTAGTTGTGCAAACCCTAACGGGTCATTTTGTCAGTCTTAGAAGTTTTCTTGTTCCCGTTTCTGTATGGTGTCTTTGCCATTCCCCCCTTGTTGTCTGTTTATTAGCATCCACAGTTTTCAAGATATCATGTTCAAATTTTGTGTGATGGTAGATATCATTAACAGGTGTTTTTGTTATAATTAGTTGGACTAATATTGTAAATCTGAGTCTGACGATGGGCACGAAGTCTCCCATGCACAGATATATGAGCTGTAAGTAATTAACCCAACTATGAAAGCTGTAAAAAAACAGGTTACCTCGTGGTTTGGGTCCATCAGCCACTGGCCTGTTTTGCTTAGTCGAGGGCTAGAGATTAGCGGGAAGAAGTACGACTTGTACCTAAAAAGTAATGTTGATTAAAGTCATTATCAGTGACAAGGACTAACCGCGTACTATCAGAGCATTCACTTCTGATTTTTGGAAACTGTTCCTGTAAGTCCAAGAAACCAGGAGAATCTTCAGGAAATTGTTCGCATTTTTGCAGCATGTTTAATCTTTCAGAGCCAGATTGACCAGAAAAAGCAGGTTCATGGGCCAATGACTTGAGGTCAGATAAAAAAAGATAACCGCTGTTAAATCCCATAAATGTTTGTGAAATACTGGTAAATATTCACATTTAGGAAGCTGTTCTCAGACAAGTTTTGGTAATGCTACTGCAAAATATGACTAGTTAGTAGCAAATAACATTTAACGTACATTTTTTCCCTTCATGCCATGCCTTGCATACAGTCTTTGGGCCAAAGATCACATGACATACATGAAAAACAAACGCATTAGTATTACTAAAAGAACAGATTGCCCAGCACTCACAGATTCCTGGACAGGATGGAGAGGATTAACACAGTGGCAGCAACCAGCAGCAGAGGAATCGCTGTAGCCACCACCGTTACATCATCTGGAAAGAAGAATATCAGATTCTCTTTGTTTCAAAAAAACAGAATAAATAAATCACTTTCCTGCAGTCACAGCAGTATGTTTCTATCGCCTGTACTTATGTCCATCATCTGGGTCAGTTGTGTACCTCACTGTCGAGCATTTTCTGTAATAGCCACCTGCACTTTATCCATCCATCCGTGCTTTTCAAATTAAAAGCCTATATAACAAATTCAACATTTTATTGCTCTCTATTCTGTTATTTCTCTTATTGTGCTATAAGAGTTATTCAATTTTTGATGCTGAAAGAAAAGCCATCAAGCTGGCTTTGATGTAGGCAGTGCACTCATTTATAATTATAATAGAAAATATCTTAATTGCAAAGTGTGTTTCACATAATTGTGTCTTGTAACATGTGAAAAGTTCTTGTTTGCATTTGTATGATATAGACTTTCATTTTTTGGGGGGAAATCCTCCAGAAATACAGCAGAAACATGTTTTGATTTTTTTAAGATAGTTTAAGTGTATTTTTGTTTGTCTCTTGGGTTGACATGGGTTGAAAATGTGAGGTAGCAAGTCGTGCTATCCACTACAAACGATGCTGTTTTGTTTTGAAAGGGGTAAAGTTACTGAACATTTCTGAAATCCTGCAAAATCAAAGTCAAGACTGTCAAATTGGACCATTTCAGTTTTGGCAATAAAGTGATAATATCTGAAAATAAGTTGTCGCTTAACCTCCCTTGCGGCTTTGAAATGTGGAAGCTGCAATTTTTGTCCATTTTAAATGAAAGTCCATGTGCTCTCTTAGCCCAGCCCCAACAAATGAGACATCAACAGAAAGAGATACATAAGCAGTGCTTGATATAGAGATCTCAGACTCAGACAGAGAATCAAAATTAATTGCTGGCTCTTAGGAGGATATACAACTGGTTTCACAGGTGAACAAATGCTGCAGTCCACACACCAGGGGGCGCTGCAGATATGGCTTCAATGATTGATTCTAAGTATATTGAGTAGAAATCTACTACAAAGAAATGTAGCCAACGCTGCAATGCAAAAAAACCACAGAAAGGAATCTGGTTTTGGGTCCAGTGAAACTCACCGAAATCTGTCGTCATTTGAACGATGCTTTTAGAAACATTATCAGCCAACAGCGTAACAGAATACTGAGCGTTGGGCATCAGGTCATAGAAAGTGTGCTGCTGGTCATCTGGCCACAAAGGTAAAGCTGCAAATGGGAGACTGTATGTTGCATTTGCAAAAAGGTGATAAAATATGCATAACAGTTTTGTGTAACACCTCTGCAAGTGAGAAAATATACATGGACAAATCTAATGAAAAAAAGACAAACTTTTTTTTTTTTTTACCGTGGAGTGAGATGTTATGTTAAAAGGCTCATTAACCCACATACATTGTTTGTCTGAGTCTTTCCTCAGAACTGCTTCATATCTGCTCACTCTGACTGGCTCAGACTTCCTCTGCCACTCCCACATAATGGTCACTGATGTCTTAGTCACACTGACACTCAGATTGACCACCTCCATCAAAGCTGAGAAGACGAACACACACAGATAGAAAGTCAGATATAGATTCCTCATTTTTCCCCTGCATTTAGTTCAATGCAAATAACTTCTGTTCTGCTGTAAATTACTTTGCATATTATTCGCCCATTTTACTGCATTAGCATCACTATTAATTGACTCTTAGATAAGACTTTTCTCATTTTCTACTCACAGAAACAATACTAACTGACAATACTAATACTGAGAGCTGATGATTCACATTACCGAGTCATCCGGTGCAGATGCAGATGTTATCACCCCCACACATTTCTATCTGAGCTCATATTTACCTCCGTACTGCAGACTTGCCGGCAGAGACTGACGAGACCCATACTGCTGGTTGTAAACGGGAAACACACTGATCAGGTACTCCTTATTAGGGTCAACATCTGGAAACATGCACAGTAAACAGAACAGCTGTATAAAATACAATGTCTGTTATAGACTAAAATACCATATATAAGTCACTCTTTCAGTTTGATTTATTTCCCCTCACCCCCAACAGGTTGCAGCAGACGGGTGCCCCTCCCTGAGCCTGGTTCTGCTAGAGGTTTCTTCCTGTTAAAAGGGTTTTTTTCTTCCCACTTTCTCCATGTGCTTGCTCTTAGATTGCTTTTTCTCTGTATTATTATGGGGTCTTTACCTTACAATATAGAGGGCCACAATGGTTGTTGTGATTTGGTGCTATATAAAACAAATCTGAAATGAATGAATTTAGACTTGATTTGTCAGGAAAAATGTACAAAGAAAAAAAAAAGCTAACATAAAACTTCTCCTAAGAGAAAAGATGCACCTACTAGCTAATTTCCATCTGCACTATTTAAATCCACATGGACAGTCTCCAGCAGTAATACATCCCCGCACAGCGCCCCCCAGCATTCAGCAGTATACATAAACTGCTCTGCTTCCTCAAAACTCAGCAACAGCCCAAAGTGTGAAAGTGTGAGAGTGTGTGTAGAAAAAATTAGTCGCTAACAAATGCCCAAACATATTTTTAAAGACTTAATGAAGAGCTGTTTGAGGAAACTGCTGTAAAATGTATCACATTTTTGTTGTAGATCTTATTAAAACACAACATAATTATGACATTTACCTGTTTCTTTATGGTAAAAATGGTAAATGGCCTGCATTTGTATAGCGCTTTACTCAGTCCCCTAAGAACCCCAAAGCGCTTTACACTACATTCAGTCATTCACCCAGTCACACACACATTCACACACTGGCGACGGCAAGCTACATTGTAGCCACAGCTGCCCTGGGGCGCACTGACAGAGATTTATCTGGAAATCTCCATTTTAAAAAAATCCCCACTAATCAAATGCAAATCAAATACACACAAGATGATAGCTTTTTCCCCCATGTTGGGCTCTGTTATCTAACACCATCTAGATTGTGGTGATGAGGTCCTATCAGCACAACTGCACTTGCTATTTTGCATCAGCTTTACAGTAAAAGCCTGCTAGTGGAGAAATTTACTCAGCAGCACGTAGCAGCCTTAAGGATTCAAAGATAAAGCCAAAGAACAAGTGGCAGAAAGCGGTTTGCCCCAACAGTGAGTCAAACCCCATAGATGTGAAAATGCACTCCTTTACACCAGAAACACTTAATATGGCTTTTTTTTTAAAAAAAGAAACCTGTTTAAAAGTAACCAATTAAAGATATGCATTATTAGATCTGATCATGTTTTGCACCACTGCTGGCTGCTGTAGCTGCTGCCTCTCAGCTTTGCTTCACTTCCATGAATTTGAGTCACTGAACTGGACTTCTCTGTGCTGTCTGTGCCTTCTGGAGCATTTTAATGATATTATCTGACAAATAATGCAGTTTACTAACAATGCTATGGCAAAAACACTCATATTAAGGCTAATAAGGCATCTGTGATGTCACAGCGGGTTTGTCTATATAAAGTCTCTGGTTAAAATGCTCAGTTCTAGAGTGGCTGACTGCTTGGCCCCCACCTCTGCTAATTGGAATCCAATTTAGTGAACTGACGTTTGTCTTGTTGGTGGCTTTTTGAGCATTTTTAATGGAGTTATCTAACAATAATATGGCTTGTTGTATGGTACAGCTTCACGAAAAAGAAGATGATGCCTGAGCAGTATGCTTTTATTCTGAAGTGACTGCAGGACACAGAATTCAAGGTGAAGCCAATATATCATATTCATTAAAAAATAAAATGACTTTTGTTTTGGGGTTTTTTCCCCCTTTTCACCTCGTATGACGGTGGAGGTGATGAAGCCGTCAACTCGAGACCAGTGGCTGGTGGATGGACTCGTCTCAGGGTGCCACTGAATCAGGAAATAACTGACAGGCAGGGTGTGACCTTGGTTGATGGGGATCTTCCACTGGACCAGAAGCTCATTTTTTTCTGGGTAAGAGGTGGAAATCCACATGTTTCTGACAGAGGGAAGAGCTGCGAAAACAGGGCCCACATTATTACATAGATTAAGATGAAGAAGACAACGCTCATCATCAACAGTAAAATAAGCTACCATTTTTAAGTCTCCTATTTTTGAGATCCGCACTTGTTCCAATGCACTGTGCATTTTTGAAATTTCTCTTCTTGTTAAACATATGAGGCAAGTTTTTAAGAAAAAACAGACGAGATCGTGGAAAGATTTTGCAATAGGTTTTGTAAAAACAGCATGTCACTGGTCTGCTGCTTCCTTCGATGAAAAAATAACATGCAGGATGTTGCAAAAGTGAGCAGCACGCGTATCGTATCTAATATCTAGAGCTGGAAGCCAATAGTTACGATTGTGTAAGATACTGCAAATGTCTTTTTTAAAATTCAAATTCAAAATTCAAATTCAAATTTTATTTGTCACGTACACAGTCATACACAGTACGATATGTAGTGAAATGCTTGGACAACTACTCGTGACCTAAAGAAAACAAAAAAAGGAAAAGGCTATGAATAAGATAGGAAATAAATATGCAAAATTAAAAAGGGTAAATTTAACTAGGAAGGAATAAAATATAAATTAAGGTTAAAAATGAAATAACTGTACAACACAAATTAGAATGAAGGGTAAATTTAACTGGGAAGAATAAGATAAAATATATAAATTAAAGTTGAAAATAAAATAACTGTACAACAAAATACACAATACACAATATAGAACTATATAAGAATGTATGAAGAAATCTAAATATAAATAAATATATACACAATAACAGCAGCTGTACAAGTATTAACTGGAAATGAAATGTTGTTGGAGACATATACATACAGAACAAGGATGCTTTTGGCCTCTGCTATTTTTGGCAGTTAATATAGTTGGGTTTTTATTACATATCTAAATTTTGACCAGGTGACTGACGAGCTAGCCTGGGTGTATATATGTTTGTAGCGACCAGATATTATCAGTGGGTTGCTGACTGCCTCTACACCCGTAAGACTGAGGCCTAAAATGCATTAATTAATTCTTCTCCTCTTGGATGCTTTTAGAGCTGCTGTCAAATATTCCCTTTATGGAGGAAAAAGTTCAGTAGCTTTAGGAAGAAATGCATTATTTAAAGCAACTCATGTTAAAATTGTGATGTCTGTGGGGATCAATATTCTACAAATACCCCAGCATATCACTCAGAACATTAATATAACAATAACAATAATTAGAAAGTGCATTTTCTGAAGAAACTGCAGTGTGAATGCTTGAATCTGAATGTATGCACTGAAATGAATTAGTTACTGAATTTAAGTTAAAAATCTTGAATGAGATAAAAAAAAAACCCGAATTTAACCTAAAAACAAAAGTGCTGAACTGCTAAAAGCTGAAGGTTACACAGAAGAAGAAGTTGGAAAAAAGCTGAAAATGTTTTAATTGTAAATTAGAAAAACCTAAGAAATGAGAAAAGAACATTTAGAGTCAGAAAACATCTGAAAGAATATTAAAAGGTCATATTCTTTGAATCACTGAATGACTAAAATGTGATCCCTCCACTTGGACCCACACAGTTTAAAAAGTTTACATCTCTGAGCTTTGAAAGACAAGATGTTGGAAAAAGAACAACGATGGCGACGTTTTGAGGGTAAAATGATGGCTTTAACACTGTGGACACAGCAGCAGTTGAAAGAGAAGTGTTTAAGATGAATTTTGGCAGAGTGGCAGAGAGAGCTCGTTAAGCAGGCAGGTGTGAGCCTGGTTGCTATAGTGACCGCACCCAATGGCTCCATACACACGTACACAGACATGCACCTCACTTTTGCTGCTTAAAATGAACAGAAAAGTCAGGCCGAAACAAATCGCTCCCAAATGAAAAGTAAAAGTCGTATTGACAAAATTCTTTCACTGTGAGCGACAGCAATGTCTAGTCTACCTAATTCTCAGTTTTCATGCCTGTGGAGCTTATTATATGGACGTGGTGACAGTGGAAAGACACCATGCTCTTCTGATTTTCAAACGAACCTTCTGAGCCATTTTAACATTAGAGTCTATGGAAGAGTTGGAGGGAGGAGGCTGTGCATTGGTGACATTTATGAAAGAACCATAACACCTAGTACAATAGTAAACACATTGGATGAAAGAGGACAGCCATGGCTACGTTTTGAGGGTAAAATCATACCTGTAGAGCAAACGCTGCGGACACAGCAGCAGTTTTAAAAAAGATTTTAAGATTAATTTTTTGCTCCTCTCACTCTAGCAGTTGAGCTGCCTCACTCTAGCCCCAACATTCCGTCCCATACACACCCATTATAAACTCTGAAACGGGTGAAAAAACATCATGAAACTTAAACTGGAACTGAAGAAAAAGTATAATAGATATTGAAAAGATAAATACAAGTTGAATAGTTGAATGTCTTGTCTTCGTTTTAAAGTTTGAATGGTGGCTCTATGTGAACGTATGTTGAAGTAGTAAGAGTTTAAAAATGAGTAAGTTGAATGAGAATTTGAAGGGTCTCCCCATTGAAATACATGGGAAATTTTTGTTGAATAAAGTTGAATAAAATTAAAAATATCAATGTTAAAAATGAGAAAAATAGAAGCACACCATTCCAAAAGAAGAGGAATCTAATGGTGTTTGAATGGTTTTTCTAAGTTGAACGGTTTTGAAGGAGATAGTCGGCGAAAAACGTACGGAATAGGAAAAAATAATAATAAAGACTAGAAAGTGCATTTTCTGAAGAAACTGCAGTGTGAATGCTTGAATCTGAATGTATGCACTGAAATGAATTAATTGCTGAATTTTGAGTTAAAAATATTGAATGAGATAAAAAAACAAAACAAAAAAAAAATGAATTTAACCTGAAAACAAAGGTGCTGAACTGCTAAAAGCTGAACGTTACACAGAAGAAGGAGTTGGAAAAAAACTGAAAATGTTTTAAATGTAAATTAGAAAACCCTAAGAAATGAGAAAAGAACATTTAAAGTCAGAAAACATCTGAAAGAATATTAAAAGGTCATATTCTTTGAATCACTGAATGACTCAAATGTGATCCCTCCACTTTGATCCACACAGTTTAAAAAGTTTAAATGCCTGAGCTTTGAAAGATACGGTGTTGGAAAGAGAACAATAATGGCGACAATTTGAGGGTAAAATGATGGCTGTAACACTGTGGACACAGCAGCAGTTGAAAGAGAAGTGCTTAAGATGAATCTTGGTACAGTGGCAGGCAGAGCTCGTTAAGCAGGCAGGTGTGAGCCTGGTTGCTATAGTGACCGCACCCAATGGCTCCATACACACGTACACAGACATGCGCCTCACTTTTGCTGCTTAAAATGAACAGAAAAGTCAGGCCGAAACAAATCGTTCCCAAATGAAAAGTAAAAGTCATATTGACAAAATTCTTTCACCGTGAGTGACAGCAATGTCTAGTCTACTGAATTCTCAGTTTTCATGCCTGTGGAGTTTATTATATGGACGTGGTGACAGTGGAAAGACACCATGCTCTTCTGATTTTCAAACGAACCTTCTGAGCCATTTTAACATTAGAGTCTATGGAAGAGTTGGAGGGAGGAGGCTGTGCATTGGTGACATTTACGAAAGAACCATAACACCTAGGACAATAGTAAACACATTGGATGAAAGAGGACAGCGATGGCTACGTTTTGAGGGTAAAATCATACCTGTAGAGCAAACGCTGCGGACACAGCAGCAGTTTTAAAAAAGATTTTAAGATTAATTTTTTGCTCCTCTCACTCTAGCAGTTGAGCTGCCTCACTCTAGCCCCAACATTCCGTCCCATACACACCCATTATAAACTCTGAAACGGGTGAAAAAACATCATGAAACTTAAACTGGAACTGAAGAAAAAGTATAATAGATATTGAAAAGATAAATACAAGTTGAATAGTTGAATGTCTTGTCTTCGTTTTAAAGTTTGAATGGTGGCTCTATGTGAACGTATGTTGAAGTAGTAAGAGTTTAAAAATGAGTAAGTTGAATGAGAATTTGAAGGGTCTCCCCATTGAAATACATGGGAAATTTTTGTTGAATAAAGTTGAATAAAATTAAAAATATAAATGTTAAAAATGAGAAAAATAGAAGCAGTCATGTCCAAAATAATAGGAATCTAACGATGTTTGAATGGTTTTTCTAAGTTGAACGGTTTTGAAGGAGTAGGCTTTCAAAAAACGTACGGAAAAAGAAAATATAACTAGAAAGTGCATTTTCTGAAGAAACTGCAGTGTGAATGCTTGAATCTGAATGTATGCACTGAAATGAATTAATTGCTGAATTTTGAGTTAAAAATATTGAATGAGATTAAAAAAAAAACAAAAAAAAACCCGAATTTAACCTGAAAACAAAGGTGCTGAACTGCTAAAAGCTGAAGGTTACACAGAAGAAGGAGTTGGGAAAAAAACTGAAAATGTTTTAAATGTAAATTAGAAAACCCTAAGAAATGTGAAAAGAACATTTAGAGTCAGAAAACATCTGAAAGAATATTAAAAGGTCATATTCTTTGAATCACTGAATGACTAAAATGTGATCCCTCCACTTGGACCCACACAGTTTAAAAAGTTTACATCTCTGAGCTTTGAAAGACAAGATGTTGGAAAAAGAACAACGATGGCGACGTTTTGAGGGTAAAATGATGGCTTTAACACTGTGGACACAGCAGCAGTTGAAAGAGAAGTGCTTAAGATGAATCTTGGCAGAGTGAGAGAGAGAGCTCGTTAAGCAGGCAGGTGTGAGCCTGGTTGCTATAGTGACCGCACCCAAGGGCTCCATACACACGGACACAGACATGCACCTCACTTTTGCTGCTTAAAATGAACAGAAAAGTCAGGCCGAAACAAATCGTTCCCAAATGAAAAGTAAAAGTCGTATTGACAAAATTCTTTCACTGTGAGCGACAGCAATGTCTAGTCTACCTAATTCTCAGTTTTCATGCCTGTGGAGCTTATTATATGGACGTGGTGACAGTGTAAAGACACCATGCTCTTCTGATTTTCAAATGAACCTTCTGAG